CCCGCCATCTCGACGTTGCGGGGCTACTGCCCACCCTACTTGACTATTAATAAAGTGGAGATCGGTGATGTTTCCGGTTGTTGTTCCGGTTTTCTGGACTTCCCAAGTTTTGCCACCATCAGTCGTGTGCAAGGTCTGCCCAATTGATGCGCCAAGCCACCCCTCTTCAGCGTTCAGGAAGTACATGGTGCTCACGCGAGGCAGGTTTTGCTTGGTAGCTTGAAGAATCGGCTGCCACGTTTCACCACCATTTTCTGTTTGGAGTAAAGTGCCGGAACCGAGGACTCTTCCATGCTTCGCGTCAATGAATTCCACTTCACGCAAATTTTCACTAACACCACTATGTTGCGGTAGCCACGTTTTCCCGCCGTCCGTGGTATGTGCGATGACACCACCGGAACCGACTGCCCAGCCATTTTGGGCATCTACAAAGTGTGTATCTGCAAAGTCGGTTCGCCAAGCCGCCTGACGGATAATGTCCCAATGATAAGCAACGGGTTCAACCTGAGTCTCCTCTTCGGCAGCGACGATTTCGGGTTCTTCGGCGACAGGCGGCAACTTGGCTGGCAATTGTGCCTTTTCAACCGAATACCGCATCACAATCCCGCCTTTACCGACAGCGACAACACCATCAGGCGAGAGTGCCAACCCGTAAAGGTCGTTGTCCGTACCGCTCTCCTGCATTTCCCATTTTTTCCCGCCGTTGATGGTGGTAAGCATCACGCCGTTGTCACCAACGATTAAACCGTGTTGTGTATCCGCAAAATAGAGTTTATTCAGATTGTCTTGGGTGCCGCTACGTTGGAAATTCCACCTTTTACCACCGTTTTTCGTATATAAAATCTCGCCAAACTGCCCGACAATCCAGCCGGTGTTCTCATCTGTGAAATAGACAGCGTAGAGTTCATTGAAGGTGCCGGTAGTCTGTTGGGTCCACGTCAAACCGCCGTCTTCCGTCGCGAGGCAAACACCGGGCCATCCGATAGCCCAACCTCTCTTTTCGTCAAGAAAAAATACACCTTTTAGCATCAAGGAGAGAAAATCGCCCGTGGCGGTTTGTGGAAGCCAGGTTTTGCCGCCATCAATTGTGTGTATAATACTTCCGAGATCCCCGACGATCCAACCGACTTCAGGACTAACAAAGTGGACAGAACGGAGCGTGAACGCGGAAGGACCGCGCTGACGTTCCCAATTCGCACCACTATCGTTGGTATGGACAATAAGCCCGCGCTCGCCAACAGCCCAGCCGTGTTTGTCTGTCGCAAAGTAGATGTTCCAGATACCGTCCCAGATATCTGTCTCAATTTCGTTCCATGTCTGTCCACCATCGTTGCTCATCGCCATCGTACCGCGCCTACCGACTGCGATCGCACGGTTGGCATCTGTAAACTGGACATTCTGTAAATCATTCGCTGTCGTACCGCTCGTCATCTCCCATGTCGCACCGGCATCTGTCGTGTGCAGAATCGTACCAGACCACCCAACTGCCCACGCCTCTGTAGGGGTCGTAAACTGGATGCCCGTCAAATTATTTTCGGTGCCGCTCTCCATCAATTGCCAATTATCCCCACCGTCTTCGGTACGCGTAATAAAGCCGACATCCGCGACGGCGACCCCATAGTTTTCGTCTGTAAAGTGGATGCTGTTGATGGTATCTCGGACGTGTCCATTAATCAGCGGAATACGGCTGTCTTGGCGTTCCCAGTTAGCACCGCCATTCATTGTATGAAAGATAGAACCGTCACTGCCAACAATCCACCCCTCATTATCACTGATAAAGAAAACCTTCTTATTGTCGTTGATCATGCGGTCGCGTTCACCTTCAAATCGGTTGCTCTGCTCTCGCCACGCTTCGCCACCGGCTTTCGTATGGAAAATCCTATCGTATGTACCGACAACCCACCCTTTTGAATTATCAACAAACCAGACCCCGTTAAGCGGAAATTCACTGACATACTCGTAACGTTTCCACTCTTTTCCGCCATTTTTGGTATAGAGCACATCCGAATCTTCACCAACAAGCCATCCCACTTTTGAATTCGCAAAAAAGACATCGCGGAGCATAGCGGAAGTACCACTCCGTTGCAGCGTCCAATGTCTACCACCATCGTCAGTTGCTGCAACTAATCCTTCATCGCCGACTGCCCAGCCGTAGTTCGCGTTTATAAAATAAACCGCTTTGAAATCTAACGAGGCATCAGGCATACGAAATCCTGGGCTTGTTGTATCGACTTCCTGTTGCTTCCATGTCTTTCCGCCATCTGCCGTATAAATTATCAGACCTCCCTCCCCGACAATCCACCCCTGTTTGTGGTTGACAAAGTGGAGATCCGTGAAATGTGTCTCCCAATCCGCTTTGCGCGTTGCCTCCATCTTAACACAGCCGCTAATAAGGAACACGATGCCAAGTAGACATACTGTGATAAGTCTTTGCACAGCAAGTTTCGGCTTGCAAACTACGCCAAAATTCATATTACCTATCAAACTCATTTTTTCCCTCCGGTCGTTGTTCTCTTTTGAAAGCCGAGAAGATGGTTTGGATCTATTTGTGGTTGCAAAACGGGTCCCTTCTCCGCGAGATACTGCTATTTAACCTGAAACTCCGATGATTACGCAGCAAATTCCGTGCCACTCTATTAATGTCGTCTTGGCAAAATATATGGAAAAAACCGCACAAAACCGGGCATACTATATACGCAATTGCACGAAATGGGGCAGATTTGATAAATGGTCGTGTGAATATAACCCTAAATTCTTAGACAAACTGCTCCAGTCATTTGTTCACGTTTTAATAGCCGCTGCTTTCACCAAAAAGACCAGATTGAGCAACAGCGATACCGATTGCGATAACGACTGGCAGCGCGATAATTGCTATCTGGAAAATAGTAGAACGCCGCGCACCGAGCCGCTGAATTGCCGCTATCTGTCCAACCGGTGCTAAGAACAGTGAGATTGCTAACAGAATAGCACTTGCCGCAGGAACTTCTTCGTAAAAATAGCCGTTCATCCAGATGCCGGTAAGTACAAGCGTCACAACGGGTGATACCCCGGGCGGAAATGCGTGCCGTCTGTTGTCGGAGCGTTGTAAAACAAGTGTTAGAATCCAACTCGCAGCGAAAATTGCTACTAAAATGCCGGTGTGTTGTGCCAACCGCAAGCTCCCAGAAACCGCAAGGATCAGTGCTGTGCCACCAGAAAGCCCAAAATAGACAAACGGACTTGAACTGCCAGACGGCAACATGGTAAAACTCTGTTGTACGATATTCCAAAAGATAAAAATGGCAACGGCGAGGCACACCCACCAGATGATTCCTTCAACCGGTCCCCACGTATACTTAAAGGTCGAATTCAGAAGAAGTCGCGGTATAACGATTGACACTGCTACCTGTACGATCAAACGTCCCCAAAGCGCGAAATGCCAAAGAGTGCCCAAAATAATTCCGATGATAGCAAGATAGCAGAGCCAATGAACGCCTTCTCGTGGTGGTAAGGGCGGTAAACCTTCTAAACCGATATATCCAACGATATAGCCAGCACTCAGTGCGACTGCAACAAGCCATCCAGAAAACCAGTTTTTCCGGTTCTCGGTATGCTCACTCTCTTTTTTCGAGGTAAGTGATTTTGCGAGTATAAGAATTCCGCCGCTAACAATAACTGGTAGGAATAAACCGAGGGCAAGTTGTTTGAATATTAACACTGTTGATAGCCCTCTATATGCTTATGACAACGGCGTGTGAAGTATAGGATTTCTTTTCTTGAAGGATATACCTATTTGTGCTTCGCTTCAATACTGACGGTAAGACGGATATCGTCACTAACGGGTCCCATTCCGTAAGTCATGCCGAATTCGCTCCGCTTAATCGTAAAGGTGCTCTCAAATCCGATGAGCGATTCACCCTCTTTCCCTTTAGCGCGCCCCGTAACTTCGACATCCACCGTGATCGATTTCTTAACACCGTGTAACTCAAGGTCGCCCGTGACCTCTAATGTATCCTCTTCCCCTTCCTTCGCACTTACTTTCGTGCTTTTAAAAGTGATGAGCGGAAACTGCTTCGCACTGAAAAAGTCGGAACTCCTGAGATGCTGATCACGTTTTTCATTCCCTGTATCAACGCTTGCTGCCTTGACCTCAAATTCCACCATGCTTTCAGGCACAGCTATTGCGTTTATCATGATCTCGCCGGTGAATTCGTTGAATCTGCCGTAATTGTAACTAACTCCATTATGTTTTGCGCGAAAAATTATCATTGAATGCGTAGTGTCAATTTCATACAGAGCCCCTGGACCCATAGGTTGCGTAATTCCAGCAAAACCAATCAGTAATAAAAGTGCAAGACTTCCAATATGAAAAACCCGAAGGTTCCGTCCTAAATCCATTTTCATTGAAAAATATCTCCTCTTTATGTTGAAGTTTCATTTAAAATGTACATTGATGAGATAAAAGAAGTATACCCTATTTTTCAAAACACGTCAACGAAAAACAGGGTGTGTAAAGTTTTTAGCATTAAATACGCCAAACTGTCCCAACTCCTTGGGGGAGGGGTTTTCAACCCCGATCGCGTTGCACCGCATACTGACAACTATCCGTTTGACGACTGACAACTGACGACTGACAACTATTTCTCTGACTTCAATCTAATTTTTAATTGAATTTCATTATGAAATTGTGATATAATTATTAAAACTGTATGTTAACGGCGACACTTTTGGCGAGTTGCTATTGTAGGCGGGCTTTGTAAGCCCGATAACCTTTTTATAGAGGGTTTTAACAACATGAAAATATCGCGATCAAGGTTTACAATTCATTTAGCGATGTATCTGCTCTGTTTTGTGGTGTGGATCCCATTTGTAACGGCAGACAATCATGCCGGAGATTCACCAGTCAGCTACCATTCACAGATTGTCCCGATCCTCAAACGAAGTTGTCAAGGATGCCATCACCCGGGTGATCGAACGCCGACCTGATTGTAACGACCTACGCCGATCTCAAGCGGGGCGGAATGGCAGGCGATGCGATCGTTCCGGGCAAACCGGATGAAAGTCTCATCATTGAACTCATCTCTGGCGACGAACCGGCGATGCCACAGAACCAAGAACCACTTTCCGATGAAGAGGTCAAACTCTTCCGGCGTTGGATTCTTGAGGGCGCGCTCGATGATACACCCGCCGAAGTTGATGATATGGGTGAGGAAAACTATCCTACTTACGTAGTGCCTCCGCTGGTTACGGCTCTGGCATATTCACCCGATGGCAGCACGCTTGCAGTCTCTGGCTTCCGCGAAATTTTATTATATGACACAACGAATTTTGAACTCAAAGCACGGTTGGTAGGCAAAGCGCACCGGATAGAATCACTGATGTACACAGCAGATGGCAAAATATTAGGCATGGCAGGCGGGTCCCCCGCACAATTTGGTGAAGTCCAACTCTGGGATACCGCAACGAATACACTCATCAAAGCGATGCGCTCGAGTTATGATACAATTTACGGACTCTCTTTCTCACCAGATGCAAGTCGTGTCGCTTTTGGATGCTCCGATAAAACAGTACGTGTGTTGTCCGTTGAGGATGAAAAAGAACTGATTAAGTTTGATAACCACAGCGATTGGGTTTTCGGTACAATCTTTTCTGTTGATGGCTCGCACTTTGTGAGTTGTGGACGTGATACTGCTCTCAAATTGGTAGAGGTAAACACAGGTTCTTTTGTTGATGATGTCAACTCCAGCAACAAAGGCTATGGCGAAATCAACACCATCGCACGGCACCCGACTGCAGACCAGGTTTTAAGTGGCGGTGAAGACCGAATACCGCGACTCTACAAAATTTTCCGCGAAATACGGAGAGATGTCGGCAATACCGATTTTAACCTCATCCAAGCTTATGAAGCGCAATCGGGTTCGATCGAGGGGGTCGCGTTTACAGCAGACGGCACCCAGTTTGCTATTGGATGCTCCGGTGGTGAAGCGCGTATCTACAACGTAGCAGATGGGAAGCGGGTAGCATCCATGCAAAGCGATGCAGTCGGTGTTTTCGCTGTCTCATTCCATCCTGATGGCACACAACTCGCTACAGGCGGTTTCGACGGAAAGGTTCGGATATTCGACACCGCTTCCGGGAAACTACTCAACGCCTTTATGTCAGTGCCGATTGAGCCTGCCGGAAGTGAGGATGTCACATTGGTCGTGTCAGGTATGACGTGAGGGGCTTGTGTCGCAAAAGTGCAGGGTGCACTTACACAACACCAAAGCGTTATCAGTGTCGAAGTTTCGCTACCCGATCAAGCGGTCATTAAAGTCCGAAAAAACACCGCTACTGCCACTGACCTTGCGAACATCGTTAAAGCGTCTGGGTTTAGCGCAACGACTAAATAGCACGCACGAAGAGGCGGATGGATGGCTGTTAAAGCTCCCAATATTCTCTGGGTTTGCACAGATCAGCAACGTTATGACACAATCGGTGCATTGGGAAATCCGTACGTGTCAACGCCGAACATTGATAGCCTCGTAGGAGATGGGGTCGCGTTTACACATGCCTATTGTCAGAGCCCTATCTGTACACCGAGTCGGGCGAGCTTTCTCACAGGTATGTATCCGACCGCAACGCACGCAAATCGCAACGGAAACGATTTCTTTCCAGAGGCGTATCCACTTGTGACGCGTACCCTTGCAGACATCGGTTATGATTGTGGTCTGATTGGTAAACTCCATCTTGCGAGTGCTTACCGCCGAGTGGAACCGCGGGCAAACGACGGATACCGCTATTGGCAGTACAGTCATGCACCGCGCGATGACTGGGAACAGGGACATGACTACGCCGATTGGGTCCGCACGAAGGGTTACATACTCGGCGAGTTGAATCAGAATCCAGAAGGCGTGCCAGCAGAGTTACATCAGACGACATGGTGTGCGGAAAAGACAATCGAGTTCATCCGTGAAGCACGCGATTGCCCGTGGCTCGCGAGCGTCAATATCTACGATCCGCACCCGCCGTTTAATCCACCACAGACGCACCGAGAACAATTTAATCCGGCGGAAATGCCAGAACCACTCTTCCGAAACAGTGACCTTGAACAGCAGACTCGGTTACAAGCAGTCGATTTTCAATCCAAAGTCCGTACACCAGATGAATTAGATATCCGTAGTCCGATCTTGCCCCAGACACCTCATAGAGAGACGGATGCAATCGGTGCAAGAGATGCCAAAACGCTCAAAGCCGCCTATTACGCGATGATCCAACTCATTGATGAACAACTGGGACGGATTCTCGAAACGCTTGAGGAAACAGGACAACGCGAAAATACCGTCATCATTTTCACGAGTGACCACGGTGAAACGCTCGGTGACCACGGGCTGATTCAAAAAGGCTGCCGATTTTACGAAGGTTTGGTCAGGGTGCCACTGATTTTTTCATGGCAAGGGCAGTTTGTGAACGGTCTCAAAAGCGATGCACTCGTTGAGCTCGTTGACAAAGCACCGACACTTTTGGAATTGGCAGGCTTAACACCGCCTGACGGAATGCATGGGCGATCGCTACTGCCTATCCTCCGCGGTGAGGCGGATACAAACCATCACCGGGACTTTGTTCGGTGTGAATATTATGACGCTGTTGATCTCCGAGACCACTCTTTCGCAACAATGTACCGAAATGAACGTTACAAATTGGTAGTCTATCACGGGCACGCGGAGGGAGAACTCTACGACTTAATCGAGGATCCCGACGAGTTTGACAATCTCTGGCATACACCCGCGAAACAAGACATCAAACTGGATCTGTTAAAACAGAGTTTTGATGCCTCTATGTTCGCTATGGACATAGGCCCACGGCGTGTGGGACCGATGTAAAGTCTCCGCAATGGTGATTTTAACAAATCGTAAAAGGTCGGGTTAGTATGGCACAAATTGATAAAATTAAGGAAGAAATTGGCTGGTTAAAGGTCGTATTTGCTATTTTAATTGCTACAGACATTTCTCTTATTGCTTGGTTGGCGCAAAATTATAAAAAAGCCACTCCGCTTCTTCTTACAATTGGCTTAGTTGTAGCATTTCTGGTTACACTTATAATTGTTTGGATCAATAACGTGGCATATCGAAAAATTGATGAATTGGAGGAATTGTGATGGAATGGGTTCCAATTTCTGCGCTTGTAGTGTTTCTCGTTGGGCTCGGAATAGTCGCTGGAAAAGCGATACACCATGCCAACAAAAGTTAGACCTGCTGGTGGAGTTGAGATAACGCAATTATGCTTCAACGTAACACCATTCATTGTGGCGACACGTTTACGCTATTGAATGAGGTAAAAGATGCCTCGGTGGATCTGATTGTATGCGATGGACCGTATGGTGTGACAGAGAACCGATGGGATGCAATCGCCTCGATTCAGGAATTTAACCTGACACTCATCGAAAGGTTCGCACCGAAACTGAAAGATGGGGGCGCACTCTATTTGTTCGGTAAACCGGATTGTATCGACTTTATAGACTATCGGAAGTTCTTGAATCTCCGTTCAAAGATTGTATGGTATCAACCGAGTCGGCTTGCACAGGGACGCATCAATTACACTAACAACTACGATATTATCTGCTATTTCATCAAGGGCAGAAAGCCACAGTGTTATAACTTGGATGCTATCAGAGTTTCGCAACTCGTCGAGTTAGAGCATCGGAATCGGTGTGAAAATGTGCCATCCGTAACAAATGGAAAGTTTGGAAAAACGAAATACAACCCGAAAGGGAAAAATCCCGGCGATGTCTGGGGTGATATAAAACAGCTAACCTATAAGTCGAAGGAGTTAGTGAGCAGGAAGGCACTCAACACGATCCAGAAACCTGAGAGGTTAATCGAGCGAATTGTATTAGCGAGTTCATCACTGGGGGATCTGGTTTTGGATCCCTTCGCAGGCGTAGGCACCTGTCCTGTGGTGTGTCAGCGGCATCAGCGGGATTTTATCGGATTTGAAATTGAACCAAGTTTCGTGGAAATGGGCAATAAACGGCTCCGCGTGTGTCAGGACAACCCGGACTTGCATTTATAGACGAATGCACGCGAATTTTATGCCGGGTGTGTCGTTTCCGCTTGTGGGAGGGAAACCTTGTAAGCCCGATTTATCTCGAATGCCGAAATACATTCAGCGTTGATTTGACAGCTGGTTTCCTTAAAATCCGCGTAATCTGTGTAATCCGCGATTCAGAATACTTTGACAAAAACATTATTGCATGGTACTATCTATAGAAGTTAGATACATGAAAGAGAAGTATGATTGTTCATTGATTCTATTTTGAGATGTGCTACCAGTAGGCAAACGGACACACTTTCCTTTGCGTAAACACATAAGGAGCCAACATGGAACGGTCTTTTATTAAATGGCAAGATTTGGCTAACAAGTTTCGCCAAATCGTATTTTGTTTGACATTTCTTCTCGGTTTTGGTATAAGTATAGGTAAGCCGCGGCGGTGGAAGTCGGGTTTATCTACTTGGGTGATAACGGTGATTTTACTAAACCTGCATTGGAATTTGCTGAAAAGACGTTCAAAACAGAACAACTCGCAAAGGCAGACTTGAAGAGTGACACATTCAAGCAGTTCGCTGTTGTCTGGTGGCATGATGGCGATGCCGATCCGGGCGGATTATCCGGCGCAGAAATTGATGCGTTCTTAGACTATGCTGAAAGCGGCGGTGCAGTGCTTCTGACAGGCGCGGCTATCCGGTATGCTACGCCGTTGGGATTAGAAGACGCGCAACCACGGGCATTTGGACCCGTTGAAGACGATGGAAGCAATGTCGGTATTATCGTCCTCAAAGAGACGCTGGCACTCGGGTTGGTAGACGGACTCGAGAATGTTTGATGGGAAAACACCGCAAGTCGATGATTGGATTCGGGTCAATTCAACTGGGTATCCCGTAAGTGGCGACTATTTCGACACGATTTGGGAGAATTTTACGACGCTTGCGCATGCTTGGGAGGGCGGTACCAACTACACGGATAGGATTGCAGCCTTCGGTTATTGGGAAGCTGGGGACGGTAAAATCTTCAACATGAACTGGCGGATCCCGAATTTCCATAAGAACAACGACAGTATTGATCAAATAGAGAAACTTACAGAAAACGTTATCAACTGGTTAGCGAGTGAATCCGAATTCACAGATGTTTCTCCAGGGGGTAAGTTACCGATAGTGTGGGGACACTTGAAGAATCAGAAGTAGCATAGGATGTTCTCTCGCGAACCTAAAATGCTACACTTTTGATAAAAATTCCGAAATTACGTCACATTCCCACGTACCGCAAGGCATCTGCACGTCACACGTACATGAACTTATGAACCATTAGCAACAGCAAGTTTTGGCTTACGAGTTATGCCAAAAAAAACATCTTTCATTGGAAAATCTGAAAGTTTGAGAAGAAATACAATTGAATCTACCTGAAGGAGTCAAAGCACGACTTGATCAAGGAAATCTAACCGGAGATATAGCCTTCTCACCAGATGGTACACAACTCGCAGTCGCTTGTGACATTGGAGTTTGGGTCTACGATGTAGAGAGTGCGATAGGGACTCAACCTACTTGTAGAGCACAGGGAATACGTCAGGTGTGTCGCTTTTTCACCTGATGGCAGTGCGATCGCAAGTGGAAGTATTGACAACACGGTGATTTTATGGGATGCCGTCAGTGGGTCTCCGACGGCAACACTCACCGGGCATACAGACGCGGTTAGGGGTGTCGTCTACTCTCCTGATGGTGAAACAGTCGCGAGCGGAAGTCCTGATGGCACAGTGCATCTGTGGGATGTGAGTACAGGCGAATGTAAAAACACACTCACGGTGGATCAGTTCTCTATTAGGTCTGTTACGTATTCTCCTGATGGTGGTACAATCGCTGCTGGCAGTGGAGATGACACGGTGCTACTATGGGATGCTGCCACCGGACAGCACATAGCGACTCACCGGGTGGCCATGCGCATGGGCATGCAAAGAGGGCATAAAGGGGGCCATTGCATAGAGGGCATGCCGCCGCCCACATCACAGCATCGCATCCCATCCTAAGGCATACAGGGGGGGGGAATGCGGGCATACGCATCATCATACATAAGCGGGGGGGGGGACATCTCATTCCATGCACATGCATCGGCGCATTCGTGGGGCATAAGCGCATGGGGGGGGGGGCATAATAGCACTACGCGCCACCATGGATGGGCGCCCATTATAGCCATGCATACACGGCGGAATCGCCCATCATCATACGATGCATCATAAGCATGGCCATAGGCATCATCATGCATGCATCCAAGGGGCAGCATGGCGGGGGGCATCGCACATAGCGGGCATAAGCATAGCATCCATAGGGGGCATACAGCATCCAGGCATCACGCACGGCGCATATAATGCATGGGCAAAGCCACATCCCATCGGGCATCATAGCACCGCGCAATATAGCCAACGCATGCCCATAATAAGGGCATGGGGGGGGGGGGGGGGGGGGGCCATCATGGCATTAGCGGCATAGCACCGGGATGCATATCATGCGGGCATTAGCATCCATGCCAGCGCTCATACAGCATAAGCATTATGCCATTGGCATGGCATAAGACATGCAAGGCATACGCATCACAGAAGGCATGCATTATCATAAGATATGGCATAAGCATGCAGGCGGGCATGGGGATACAGCATCAGCATGAATTGCGCCCATGGGGAATGCATGCATCCATAATGGCATCATATTGTGCATACACATCGCCATGCATGGGGGGCGGCGCAGCATACGGCAGCCTCATCCATGCATCACCACAATAAGCATTAAGCGGCACGGCATGGGGCATGGGCATGGGCCATGGCATCATAACATCATCACCATATAAGCGAAATCCGGCCCATAAGGGGGCATAAGCATATTGTCAATGCTGCTGTCTATTCTCCGAATGGCGAAACGCTTGCCAGTGGGAGTACCGACCGCACGGTGCGTTTGTGGGATGCGATAACAGGTGAACCGAAAAATACACTCTCAGGACATAGAGGCTATGTCTGGAGTGTCGCCTACGCTCCCGATGGTGCAACGTTCGCAAGCAGCAGTAGTGACGGTACAGTGCGTTTGTGGGATGCAATTACAGGTAAATCGAAAACCACACTCACAGGGCATACAGGCAGTGTCAGGAATGTCGCCTATTCTCCCGATGGCAGTGTGCTCGCGAGTGGAAGTGAAGATAATACTGTTCTACTTTGGGATCTCTCGTAAACCGTTGATATAGAAACAACCCAGATGATAGATTGAGGCAACGAACAACGATCAAATATTTTATTATGTTTCTTAGGTGCCGGCTCTCGGTTAAAGAGGTTTTGAATTAACCAAACCAACGCTTAACCGACAACCGACAACCATTAAAAAGGAGGACGGCGTATCCCGGTCGATTACAATCGGAGGTTCCACGCCGAGTTTATTGATGAAATCCAGGTTTAACTTTGTAACAACACTCCTTGGTGTATGCTGCATCTGCTTCGCGCTCCAGTTAACAGCGCAAAGTGAGATGGCGCGGCCTGCAAGTGCCGAAGTGCCAACAGCAGAAGAATGGCTTGCAAGCGTCGCTTTAACGGAGTTGAGGGTTCATCCGGAGTCGCTGACATTGGAGCACGCACGTGATGGCAGACGTGTACTCGTGTCAGGTAAGACAAAAGATGGCACATGGGTAGATGTAACACCGTGGGCAATGCTGACACCTGCTACAGACGCGGTGAAGATACATGAAGATGGCTATATTTTCCCGATGGCAGTTGGCACAACGAAAATCGTCGTTACCGTCAGCGGCGTGAGTGCCGAATTGCCTGTAGATGTCAAGAGCATAGAGGTGCTGCCTGTCAGTTTCGTGCGCGATGTCATGCCGCTCCTAAGCCACACTGGATGTAATAACGGGCACATGCCACGGTGCAGCAAAAGGCAAAAATGGATTGAAACTCTCGCTCCGCGGCTATGATCCCGATTTTGATTATGAGCTCTTGATTGAGGATATATCGGGTAGACGGTTTAACCGGGCATTTCCTGAACAGAGCCTAATGTTGCTGAAGCCGACATCTGAAGTGCCGCACAAAGGCGGACAGGTAATTGTGCCAGGTTCACGCGATTATCAACTCATCCATCAATGGATAGCGGAAGGGGCTGTTCCTGATGTTGAAACCACCCAGCGCGTGGAAAGATTAGAGGTTTTACCGGATTCCGCTGAACTCGCCATGCCGGGGATGAAGCAACAATTTATTGTCATTGCCCACTATCCCGATGGAACGACGCGGGATGTTACTCGTGAGGCAAAATTCACGAGCAGCCTCAATGATGTCGCAAAGATCACTGACGATGGCGTGGTGACCGCAGAACGCCGCGGTGAAACTGCTATCCTCACCCGATATGAAGGCGCATATAGCACAAACGGCATCATCGTAATGGGCGACAGAAGCGGATACAAGTGGGTTGAAACGCCTGAGTATAACTATATCGATACGCACGTGCATAATAAATTGAAGCGCATGAAACTCCTACCTTCTCATCTCTGCACAGATGAAGAGTTTGTACGGCGCATCTATTTCGATCTGACAGGCCTCCCACCGACTCCTGAACAGGCGCGGAGTTTCCTGGCTGATACCACCACCTCTAAAACCAAACGGGAAAAACTGATTGACGCACTCCTCGAAACACCGGAGTTTATCGACCACTGGACACATAAGTGGGCAGACTTGTTGCAGTCTAACCGCAAATTCCTCGGTGAACGTGGTGTCTGGCTCTTCCAACAATGGATATATCAGGCTATTGCCCAGAATCGTCCGTATGACCAGTTTGTACGAGACCTGATTACAGCAACCGGAAGCACCTACGCGAATCCAGCAGCGAGTTATTTCCGTGTATCCCGTGAATATACGGCTGCAGTCGAAAACACGACTCAGCTTTTCTTAGGGGTCCGTTTTTCATGCAACAAATGCCACGACCATCCGTTTGAGAAATGGACGCAAAACCAGTACTATGAGCTCGGCGCATTTTTCGCGGATGTCAATGTGAAGCAAGGTCCGCTACCCGGCGATGAAATAGTCTACGCGAGTTACACGGAAACGCCTGTAAAACACCCGCGAACGTTAGCGGTAGTTGAACCCTCCGTCCCATTCGGGGAAATCGCAGTAGAAACCGACAATAAGCAACACATGCTCGCAACGTGGCTCACCTCTAAGGAAAATCCGATGTTTGCACGCGCAGGGGTGAACCGTCTCTGGAGCTACTTCATGGGACGCGGGATCATCGAACCTGTTGACGACATCCGGACGAGTAATCCACCGATCAACCCTGAATTGCTCGATGCATTGACAAAGGATTTCCTGGACAGCGGATTCGACATGAAGCATATCATGAAGACGATGGTTCACTCCAGAACCTATCAACAGAGTATCAAGACGAATGCGTGGAACAAGTCAGATACAATTAACTTCTCACACGCCGTTGCAAGACGCTTGACAGCTGAACAGTTGTTAGATGCTATCGGGATCGCAACAGGAAGCCGACCACGGTTCCAAGAGGTACCCAAGCACTTCCGCGCAGTCCAATTGCCAGACAGCAAGGTCAAAGATGACGGATTTTTGAAACTGTTTGGTAGACCGGAACGCGAAAGTTCGTGTGAATGTGAGCGCACCACTGAGGTCAGTCTCGCACATGCAATGAACCTCATTAATGGACCAACGGTTGCAGAGGCACTCATTGATCCAAAAGGACGTATCACACGACTTATCAAAGCGAATCAGGATGACCGAGTGCTCGTTGAGGAACTATATCTCGCAACGTTTTCTCGGTTACCAGAGAAGAACGAATATGCAGTAGCGGTTGAACATATCGCGAATGCAGAATCTAAGGAAGAAGGCGCACAAGATTTATTGTGGGCATTGATTAACAGTCCCGCCTTCTTATTCAATCGCTAAAACTTATCCGGTTGGGCTACTTCTGTTGGTACTTTTGTTGGAAGGTAGCCCAACACAATGGAGGAAACAATAGATGTTATCGTTACCACAATTGCCCGGACGCTTGTGTGACGGGTTCTCACGTCGTGAATTTATGCGTGTCGGTGGTGCGGCGATGCTCGGCATTAGTCTGCCACAAGTATTGTCACTCCAAGCGAACGCGAATACGGCAGTTGACCCCACTAAGCCGCTAAACGGTTGGGGGAAAGCCAACTCGGTCATCCTTCTCTTTTTACAAGGCGGTCCAAGCCACCTCGACATCTGGGATCCAAAACCGGATGCCCCTTCAAACATTCGTGGTGAATTCAAACCGATCCCGACCAACGTGCCAGGGATTCAGTTATCTGAGACGATGCCACGTTTGGCACAGCAGATGGATAAAGCCTGCCTCATCCGTTCGGTCAGTTATACGCCGGCAGGGCTTTTCAACCACACTGCTGCGATGTATCAAATGGTTACTGGTGAAACGCCGGACAAGGTCGCACCTTCAGGACAACTTGATCCGCCTTCACCTGCCGACCATCCCAATGTCGCATCCCATGTCTCAAATTACCGCCCACCCGAGGAAGCGATGCTCGCGGCAGTGCAACTCCCACGTCCGATGCAAGAGAGTAATATCATCGGTAAAGGCGGAAACGCCGGTTTCTTGGGTAGAGCTTATGATCCATACTTCCTCTTCCAAGATCCGAATCAGGATATTAACCTCGACGACTTAAGCTTGCGTCCAGAGGTGCCACCCCTGCGCATGAAACGCCGGAAAAATCTCCTTGAAACGATTAACGCCAGTATGCCCGAAATTGATAAGGTGGCGGACTCTTATGCCTTGAATGAATATTATGAGAAGGCATACAACCTCATCCTGTCGCAGCGGGCACGCAACGCTTTTGATCTGTCCCAAGAACCCGATGAGATGCGCAATCGCTACGGTAGACATACCTTCGGACAGAGCGCACTCCTTGCCCGGCGGTTGGTCGAAGCTGGCACACGCTTCGTTCAGGTGAACTGGCCCTCTGTCGCTAACGGCGATCCGAACACGACAGCGTGGGATACGCACGCAACAAACTTCGGTCCCTTGAAGAACCTTCACTGCCCGAAGTTAGACAGTGCCGTTTCCTCACTCTTAGAAGACTTGGATCAGCGCGGGATGTTAGAAGATACGCTCGTCTTGGCGATCGGTGAATTCGGACGCTCGCCGCGGATGGGTATTAGCACTTCCGGTAATAGCAACGCACCTGATGGACGCGACCACTGGCCCTATTGCTACACGGGGTTAATCGCAGGCGCAGGTGTCCGAGGTGGACAGGTTTACGGGAAGTCCGATGCTACAGGTTCAACACCACTTGAAAACCCAGTGCATCCACGCGACATCCTTGCCACGGTCTACCACACACTCGGTATTGATCCGCATACGATCGTCTACAACCATTTAGAGCAGCCACGTGAATTGGTGAAAGGCGAACCGGTTGTCGGGATTTTCTAAAAACTGTCTGACACATAATGAAGCCATCAGCCATCAGCAAAGAGGTATTGGTACATCTAAACCTTTTTGCTGATGGTTTCTGATTGCTGGTGGTTCTGATTGCTATTCTTATAGGCTTGCTTCCAACAGCATGAGGTAATCAAAATGCCTAACAAGTTATTTTGGAAGTCAAAAAGACGAGTCAGTTCGTCCGCTCTCCGTCTTCCAATCAAATACTGTCTTCTCTCCCTGTCAATCTTTTTTCTAACAATTAGTTTCACACACGCGCAGGTTGTGCCAGCATTATCGACTGTCTCCCCGCAAGGTGCACAACAGGGACAGAACGTAGAAATTACTCTCAAAGGTCAAAATCTTGACACGGCAACGGCGGTGTGGTTCAGTGGGACCGGCATCACCGCAGAAATTAGACAGGAAACGCAGCAAGCAGCTGTCCTCTTCAATGGCGACGGTGTCTCTGGACGTATTCCTACCGACATGCAGTTGGTCGCGTCCCTAACGATTGACCCTAATGCACCATTAGGTGTCCAACAGATGCGTATCGTTACGCCTTATGGTGTTTCCAACGCACAAAACTTTGTCGTCGGTAACCTACCAGAAGTCAACGAAAATGAAGCAACCGAAGACGCTGAAATGTCAAACTGGTTGGAATTGCCAGTTACCATAAACGGAGAGATCGCATCAATTGATGATGAAGACAGTTTCAGTTTTAGCCTGACAAAAGATGTGAGACTCATCTGTGAAGTAACGGCCCAACGGATAGGATCGCCTCTGGATTCGTATCTTGTCCTCCAAGACGCTAATGGGGTTGAGGTCGCAAACAGCGGACAGGGCAACGGGTTAGATTCGCTCCTAAATTACACCGCGCCTGAAGCAGGTAAATACACACTCCATATCCGGGATATCCGCTATAAAGGTGGAAACGGGTTTCGCTATCGGTTAAGTGTTGGTGAATTACCCTACCTTGAGACAATTTTTCCACTCGGTGGACGGCGCGGAACGGATAATACGATTGCTGTTACTGGTGCTAATCTCGAAACCGTGAACGCTATACAGGTCTCAATAGATGCTGAAACACCAACCGGTAAACAGACGCTAAGGGTAAAGATTCCATCTGGGTTGACAAGTAATCTGCACCCCTTCGCCATCGGAAGTTTGGCAGAAATGGGGGAAAGTGAACCCAACGATACTGCTGAAAAAGCAAATCCAGTGAACGCACCGATAACAATCAACGGAAAAATTGACAAATCAGGTGATATTGATCGGTTCACATTTGAGATAACAGAGCCTCAACTCCTCGTTTTTGAGGTAGAGGCATTACGGCTGTCATCGCCGCTTGATGCACTTCTTACCCTCTACGGTGCAGAAAAACAGATGGATGCCTCGGCGAACATGGAAACCAACGGTGCCGAGAAAGAACAGGTCTTGATGGTCAACGACGATGCCAGCGGCACCGACGCGCGCATTGAGTGGAATTTCACGGAATCGGGAAAGTATTCTGTCGCCATTCGGGATCTGAACAACCAAGGTAGTGGCGTGTATTCATACCGTTTAAACATCCGTCCGTTGGAACCGGACTTCACGCTCAGTACAGTCGTGCTTGACAGTCAGAACCGTCCATCCGGTTTAGATAGCCCGCGCGTCAGTCGAGGTGGCACCTTCACAATGCAGGTTAACGTTAACCGTCTCGATAGACTCAGCGGTCCGATCCGCTTACACTGTCCTACCCTACCCAAAACGTTTGAAGTGAGTCCTGCTGTTGTTGAAACTGTTCAAAACAAGGCACTGCTCACGGTCACGGCACCGTGGGACGCACCACTCGGTCTGATGCCGTTTTCCGTCGCTGGTGTCTGTGCGGTTGGCAATAGTCAAGTAGAACGCACCGCTACACCTTCTCCGATGCTGCTAACAGTCATGGAGGCACCGGAATACACGCTCACCCTCGCCGAGATTAGTACAAGCGTCACACACAACAAAGCGGTCACCCTTCACGTGACGGCGAATAGACGCGATGATTTTACAGCTCCTATCACACTCACGGTCGTAGGATTACCACCCCGAGTGACAGCAACACCTGTCACTATTGCCGAAGGTAAAAACGAGGCAGTCCTCTCGGTAAAAGCCGGAAGCTTCGAGCGAAGGGAACAGTTTTCTGTCGTACCGGTGCCGGGTATCAACTATATCTCCGTTGTAGGCACGGCGACGATCAACAGAGAAACGATAAGTCAGTCAACTCCTGCTATTCCGCTGACGATTCTTGAGGCACCCTTCATTGTGACAGTAGAGCCTTTACGTTTTAGCATTGTTTTCCCAGCAACAGTGGCTGCGAGTGGAGACGCAACGGCGGTCCCACAAGGCGGCACCGTGGCGATTGCGGCAAACCCAGCTGCAGACACTGAAAAAACGGAAACCGAAGCACCAGCGACGAAAGAGGCGATACTCACGTTAACAATCGTCCGACAGGGTGGTTTTACGGATGAAGTCACGCTGACACCGCTCGATTTACCAGAAGGATTCACCACGGAAGCTGCTACTATTCCAGTGAATGAAACCGAGGTAAAAGTGCCGCTAAAAGTTCTCGGCTCCTTAGAAGATAAGACGTATCAGTTCAAATTCCGGGGATCAGCGATGATCAACGGTAAAGAATTTGTACAGGATAGTCCTATCCTCAATACGAAGATTATCCATTAGCAAGAATGGCGATCAGCAGTTGGCTATCGGCTATCAGCAAGAGGTTCTGATGAAGTCAAATCCTCTTTTCTGACGGTTGATGGCTGACGGCTGACGGCTAAAATGCTGACAGCCATACATGACAGAATCCCCCTATACACTTATCCATCAAGATAAAGCCACTGCAGCCCGGGTTGGCAAACTCCACACAGCGCATGGTGTTGTGAATACGCCGATATTTATGCCTGTCGGGACGCGTGGGACGGTGAAAGCGTGCACCCCCGAAATGCTATCCGACCAGATTCAAGCGAAAATTATTCTCGCGAACACCTATCACCTCTACCTACGTCCCGGACATGAAATTGTCCGAGAGGCAGGCGGATTGCATTCGTTTATGGGATGGCAGCACCCTATCCTGACCGATAGTGGCGGGTTTCAGGTTTTTAGTCTCGGTCCGCTACGCACGATTACAGAGGAAGGCGTGGCATTCCGTTCTACGATAGACGGCACCGAGCACTTTATCAGTCCGGAACGATCAATCGAAATCCAGAATGCTCTTGGCGCAGATGTTATCATGGCGTTTGACGAGTGTCCGGCATTACCGAACGACTATGACTATCTTAAGGACTCGATGGAGATGACATTGCGGTGGGCAGCTCGCAGTAAAGAGGCACATCGGAATTCAGATCAGTTACTCTTTGGCATTGTGCAGGGTGGTATGGAACGCGACCTGCGTCAGGCGAGCGTGGACGGTACAGTCTCAATCGGTTTTCCGGGATATGCTATTGGTGGCTTAAGCGTCGGCGAAGAAAAGGATTTGATGTATGAGGTGCTGGCATACATTGCACCACTCTTACCGGAAGATAAGCCGCGTTATTTGATGGGGGTCGGCACGCCTGAAGATTTGGTCTACGGTGTACGCTGCGGGATTGATATGTTTGATTGTGTGATGCCGACCCGGAATGCACGCAACGGATCGCTGTTCACAACAGCAGGTATCATCCGCATCCGCAACTCGAAATACAGACGTGATTTCAGTCCCTTAGATCCAGAATGCACCTGTTATACTTGTCAAAACTTCACACGGACGTATCTTCGACACCTGCATATTGAAAATGAGATTCTCGGTTCGCAACTGCACACGTTGCACAACTTGCATTTTTACGTCAGTTTAATGCGTGGGATTCGACGCGCCATCTGTGATGGAAATTTCGCCGCACTCTCAGATGGTGAACCGAATATTGGCGCACTGGTGAAGTTAGGACAGTCCGATGGCCATGTAGTTTAAAATCTGGCTACCCAACCAAGTATTTAAACACGGATGAGAGATTGTCGTCAGGGGAATAGAGTTGGGAGACGTTCAATTCGTTTTCGATGAGAAGTTCAGGGAGTCGGGCATAGAACGCATCAGGTTTGGCGGTTTCGATAACAATATCACCCGATTCGTCTGTTTCTGATTCGTTTATAATGTCAACGTTGTTCACAAAGGTTACGCTCAGAATGTCTGGGAAAAAGAGACAGACTGCGCCAGACGGCGCGGTTCGTCGGTGCTTAAATAAACTTGTGTGGGTGTTCGTCAATCAGTTCTCGAATATCGGAGATGGTGCCTTCAGCAAGGATACGTCCTTGATGAATGAGCAGAATCGTCTCTGTTAATGCTTCAATCTCGTAGAGGATATGACTTGAAACAATGATGCTAATGCCTTTGTCGGCAAGGTCTTTCAATAACGCAAGAACGTGCCGTCTTCCATTCGGGTCTAAACCGGTGAGTGGTTCGTCAAGAAATAGGAGTTCCGGTTCATGTACCAATGCTTGCGCGAGTTTGATACGCTGCCGCATACCCTTGCTATAAGAACCGATAGGTCGGTCCTTTGCCGATAGCATGTCCACCGTTTCTAATACCTGTAGACTTCGAGACTCCACTTCTGATTTGTCGTATCCACTTAACGTGGTGAAGAAGGTGACCAACTCAAGTCCACTCATGAATTGATATGCCAATTCTATATCAGGACAGTAGCCTACCCGCCGAGTCAACTCAGGGTATTCCATACCGGTTGGTTCAGCACGCTGACCTCGCCTTGGTTGGGTTTGAGTTGCCCCGTCATCAGTTTGATTAAACTTGTTTCCCCGCGCCGTTTGGACCCAGTAAACCGATTATGCCGGGGTGAATCGTGAGCGTTACGTCATTCACCCCCATAACTTCGCCGTACCATTTGGATAGATTTTCTGTTTGAACAATTGGTGTGTTATTCATATTTTTATAGTTGTCGGTTATCAGTTGTCGGAGACCATCAGTAAAGAGATATTTGTGGTATCAAAAGATATTGCAACTGCCACCAACGTCTACTGACGGCTAATTTTTAAGGTTTCTTCAAGATCCTGAATGCCTGCGGTGGTGCCGATAGCAGTGACGCATGCTGCACCCGTCGCGGATGCCAATTCCGCAGTTGCTTCCAGGTCCCAACCCATAATAGTCCCAGCGAGAAATCCAGCAACGTAAGCGTCACCTGCACCCGTTGCGTCAACGACATTGACGGGATATGCAGGCACAGAGAGTTCTGTTTCTGGTGTGGAAATATAACTGCCGTTTTCACCCATTTTAATGGCGATAGTTTGGATATTGTAGTTATTCCGCAAAAATTGTGCGATTTCACGGCATTCAGACATACCGGTGAGTTGTTGCGCTTCAACGATGCTTGGCATAAAGATGTCTACATGGTGCAAACACGGTTCTAACGTCTCCATCCACTTTCCGGTGGCATCATACGCTGTATCGAGCGAGGTGGTTATGCCCAGCCTTTTCGATTCTCGGAGGACGTTCGCCATCGGCACACCGTCAAAGCGTGGCATGACGAGCGCACCGGCGATGTGCAAAATTTTGGTGGTTTTAATAAGTTCCCAATTAAGGTCTGCTTCACAGAGTTCACCGTTCGCGCCGATGTAGTGATAGAAAGTCCGTTCGCCATCGGAAGCAATCGCGACAAATGTAAACGATGTGCTAACGTCGGCATCTTGTTGCATGCCAGTCGCATTAACGCCGTTGTCTGTAAGTGTTTGCAGAATCAGATCGCCGAAAGTATCAGTGCCGATTTTACCCATAGCACCCGCAGAGATGCCCAAACGCGCGAGCGCAAGGGCTGTGTTGTTCGCACAGCCTCCCGTATGGATTTCGAGTTCATCAAAGAGCGCTAATTTGCCTTTTTCGGGGAACTGATCTATCGGCCGTCCGAGCACATCAACGACATAAATACCGAGCGATAGCACATCCATGGTTCACCTCTGTTTAACAAGCACCGCAAGGAACATCTAATCCCGCAATCACATTGTTCTTTAAAGCCCAGTGATGAGTTGAAAAATCACTAAAGTTTCACTATTTGTGTTAACATTTCCAGTTACTACCGTGTCCGTAAAGGTTTGAGAAGTCCATCCGATCAGATAAGGCGACGGTTTGGCACCTCTCTCTTCCGCGAGATGTCGCAACACTTCCTCCTGCCGTAGAATTTGCGCAAACCACTTCCGCGTGCCGCGCAGGTCTTTATCAGGTGGCAGTGCAGGTGTTACTTGCCGCCGAAGCACTGCTGTTGAAAGTTCAGATTCCAACTCGGTATCAAGTGTGACGTTTCCTAAGTAAGTCATCTCTTTATCTGTAACGTGCCACGCGTTTTCAAGGATACGCGGAAGTTCTTGTGCATCCAAAAATGTTTCTTGCACATAAGTTGTAGGATGCCACGGTTCCACGGGCAGGTCTCGTAGTTGAACACGTGAATCCTGAACCAACGTTCCAATCTTTTGAGGGCTCTCCGTTTCCTGATGACGAATAAAGTTCCCTTTTGTAAAATCAATGGACGTTTCGGCGTGTGCTGTAGCCCTGACGGAGACGTAGCTTTGCAAGTGCACACGATTTCGATCAGGGTAGACTGACAAAATATTGACAATCGATCCGCCGTAATGCTGTTTGGTAATACATTTCTTGCGACTGCAATTGTACTCAATGAGAGTAGAACAAAGAGAAGTCCTCCTATCCAATAGGTGCGCGCCTTTCGCTTTGATTTCCCAAAGTAGAATAAGAAACCACCAAAACTCAGCAGATATATTGGTAAAACTATAGCCAGCAGTTTAATGAGCGGCACCTGAGTCGATCCGGCTTTGACAGAAGTTGATAAAAATTGTTGGTAAATCTTCTCCTCATGTTGGAACGCAAGGGCATACCGGTCTGTGAGATGCCGCTGAGATTTACCGTGCCTGCTGAGTAATCCGCTCCAGAATGTTTCACCCACCTGTTGTTCCTTTTTTGCGCTTGCGCTAAAGGGTGGGGCATTGTAATCAAACGCAAGACAAAGGATCTGACCGTCTCCAAAGTTCCGCTTCGCAACGTAGATTTGATCGTCTGTACCGATAAGCACTTCACATTCAGGTTTTGGAGAAACGGGATACGTTCAAACATGACCATGTTGCTGCCCAATGATTCAAAACCGAGTTGTTCGTGTAAGACAGTCGGGATTATCTCTGTTTGTTCTGGTGCCTTCAATTCGACTGGAAGGAAGGGTTCAATAAAACTGTGGTGTAGATATTTATAATTACTGCCTCCAGAGACAATGAGTGTGCCGCCATGTTGTACCCAATCAAGCATCGCAGTCTGTTGTGCCTTAGAGATACGTCTTTCTGTCAAGACCCTCTCGCGAATAACGAGAACATCAACTGCACTATAACCTATCCAGTCGCGTGGCAATGATGTTGAGTTTGGAGGGTACGCCACATGTACCTGCGCGTCATTATGAGCCGCTAACTGTTTTTTGTCAATAAATCGTTTTAGTTTATCACCGCTTGGTGCCAACACCAGCACGAGGTAGTCTGTGCGGGCGATCGGTGTCGGTAAAGTTATCTCCTGCATCACGCGCCGCACTTTGTCCTGGGATATTGTGTTCCCTGACTGTGGTGCAGGTGTGAGTTCAATGACAAGTTCCGTAGCATTTTTCGGACAATATACATAGAAATTTTTTTGCCGTGATCCAGTTAGTGAAGTCGTATATCGCTGGATAGGTGTGTCTGAAGAAAAACTTCGGACCTCCACTCCTAATTCTTCGGCAAACATAGTGGATTGATCCTGATCTCGAACAATGATAGTCAGAGGTGCCCAGGTGCCTGTCTTGTAACCGTCGTTGAACCCGAATGTCACATCCTCAATCTCAACCTCGCCGAACGCAACAGATACCATAAAAAGTGATAGAAAAAGCATGGTTTTTCAATCGTTGTGATTCCATCTCCGAAGCGGTATATAATACCATTCTGATTAATATTTACTCTATGTAGTAGCATAAACTGTTAGGCTTGGGTTTCCGTACTCTCCACCGTCCTTCATAACATTCGTAATGCGACAAAATTATTTAGAAATGGTATAACATCGTCCCTACGGGACTTTGGTCGTAAAGTTTCCCAATGCTTCAGCTTTGGGATATAAGACCGCAAAAACCCTTGACAAATCCGCTTGATTGTGGTATAATGATTGTATCACGTTGGCAGACAGTTCAAGCGCCACCGCTTGGTGGCGTGTGTCTGCTACTACTTGAACGGGGTTAAAGGCGTGATACGTGAAAAACCATGAAAACTGAAAAATATGAGTTGTATCAGCAATCTAATATCCTACAGATTGGCAATCTGATAGACGATTTGCATGGTGTGCATGTCCACTTGCTTCAGTTGCAGCGGCGTTACTATCGGATTTATGGCAAGTATGCGTCTTTTGCTCGGATATGCCGACACATAACAAAGTTGAAACGGCGGACGAAACCGCATTGGAATGCTTTGCCGAGTCAAGTGATTCAGCAAGTTGCGCGTCGTATAGATTTAGGCTACCAGTGTTTCTTTGATAACATTGAAGACCGCAGATTAGGCAGAAGTGTTCGTAAAGTCGGTAAGCCTCAAATTAAGCCGAAACACAAATATAACTCCCTGACCTTTACACAATCGGGTTATGAGATAGCAGACAATCGTATCCATATCAAGTGTCTGAAAAAGTCGTTCACCTTTTGGAAACACCGTGCCTGGACGGGGACGATAAAGACAGTAACAATCAAACGTGATAATGTAGGCGACTATTATTTATATCTCGTCTGTGAGGATACAGCAGTGACCGAAGCACTCCCACTGACCGGTAATGTGGCAGGGGCTGACTTCGGTATGAAAACTTTTCTCACCCTTTCAGACGGTATCCAAATAGAATCCCCTGAGTTCTTGAAACAAAGTTTGAATGCGATACGATCCGCCCATAAAGCCCTCTCTCGTAAACAGAAGGGGTCTGGTGCTTGGTATCGTGCGAAACGCCACTTGGCACGTCTCTATAAGAAGATTGCTAACACAAGACGTGACTGGTTCTTTAAGTTAGCACTCCGTCTTGTCCGAAAGTATGATACGATTGCGATTGAAACCCTGAACCTTGAAGGCATGAAACGCCTGTGGGGTCGGAAGATCTCTGACCTTGCTTTTGGCGAGTTCGCCCTTATTCTTCAATGGATGTGTGCCAAATATGGCAAAGTATTTGCCAGAGCAGGCAAGTGGACCCCCACTACGAAACCTTGCCATGCCTGCGGGTATAAAAATGAAACACTCACCCTTGAGGATAGATATTGGACGTGTCCTTCCTGCGGCACGTCTCACGATAGAGATATAAATGCTGCGCTAAACATTTTGCGAGCTGGGGTAGCCGTGTCTTGATACACGATAAACCTGTTCTGATACAGGATAATAGCTCGCTGGTGGAGCGACAGTCAGACGGTGGACTCTTTGAGAAAACCGCAGTCGCTATGAAACCGAAGCCCACGCCTTTAGGCGTTGGGTGCTATCACTTAGGAATATCAGAACCAAGGACTGAGTACTGACAACTGATACCCAATTAACTTGATTAGAAGTCTTTTGATCAAGTCAGCATTGCGAGGCACAGGGACCTCGCGCTACAAATTAGGTTAATTTGGTATGAGTACTGACAACTACTAAAAAACCATGCTTGAACTCAGAAACATTCACACCTACTACGGCAGCATCCGAGCCGTCCGTGGCATCTCCATCATCGTTAACAACGGCGAGATGGTCTGCCTGATCGGTGCAAACGGTGCCGGAAAATCGACGACCCTGATGACGACCTCCGGTATCTATACACCCGTTGAAGGCAGTATCTATTTTGAGGATCGCGACATCACACAAACCTCGGCGGAAGATCGCGTCGCACTCGGCATCTCGCAAGTGCCAGAGGGACGGCTCATCTTCGCGGATATGACTGTCCTCGAAAACCTCGAACTTGGTGCCTACACGCGAAAAGATAAGCAAGGTATCAGAGAAGATATCGACAAAATGTTCCAATTCTTCCCTGTGCTCCGAGAACGGCAGAAACAGCGCGGTGGCAGCCTCAGCGGCGGTGAACAACAGATGTTGGCGATCGGACGTGCACTGATGTGCCGTCCGAGGCTGCTCCTGCTCGACGAACCCTCCTTAGGGCTTGCCCCCCTCATTGTTAAACAGATTTTTGAGATTATCCAGCAGATCAACGCCGACGGCACGACGATCCTCCTCGTTGAACAGAACGCGCAAATCGCGTTACAAGTAACCAACAGGGGCTATGTCATGGAGACTGGCGAAATCACAATCGAAGGTGCCTCTGCCGACCTGTTAGCTGATGAAAGCGTGCGACAGGCTTATCTTGGAGAATAGATCAGTCTTGGGCAATTTAAGGAGACGCGCTATGAAAACTATCATTTTTTTCTCAATACTCTTTTGTATCAATCGCGCTGCCCGCGTCTCGGTGCGTTAACAGACGCGGATCTTGATAAAATCCGGTTGATTGTCAATGATTCGGAAAAGCGTATTAAAGAGGAAGTCAAAGCGGAAATCACCGCACTCAGGCAGGAGCTCAAACAGAGATTGCTGATGTCAAGCATGAACTAAAAGCAGAGATTGCTGGTGTCAATGGAGGCACTCAAAGCAGAGGTTGCCAAATCCGAGAAAAGCGTAAAAGAACAAATCACACGCCTTACTAACTTTGTGTATGGACTCATCGTTCTCATTGTCGCAGCCGTGGCAATCCCGCAACTTATCATGACATGGCGCAGCGGAAAAGAGCGATCACTTGAAAGACAGATTCAAACGCTTACACAGGAAATAGAAACACTGAAGCAGCAGCGGATTGTAAACCCTTGATTTAGGAGAATAGAGAGCCATGTATCCAACGCTCGTTGATTTCGGTTTCGTCGGCATCCATAGTTACGGGCTGATGTTAGCGACTGCCTTTATTACGTCTGTCTTCGTGATCCAACACGAGCTGAAACGGCGCGGTTTTGTGCATGATGTCGCAGGGACTATCGTCTTCGCAGCGGCTATCGGTGGGGTTGTCGGCGCGAAAATCTATGCGGCACTCTTAGATGGCAGGATCACGCTCGCCGAGCTTTTCTCAACGAGCGGGGTGGTCTGGTACGGTGGTTTCATCGGCGGGATTCTCGGTGTCATCATCGTCGTCGTCCGTTCGCCGAACCCGACACTCGCCACGTTCGATATTATCGGTCAGACAGTCCTGCTCGGCTACGGGATTGGTCGCATCGGTTGTCTCTTGGCTGGCGATGGTGACTATGGACCGCCGTCGGATCTCCCGTGGGCGATGGCGTTCCCGAACGGCACTGTCCCGACAGATGTCCCTGTCCATCCGACTCCTATCTATGAGACGCTCATATCCGTCACATTTTTCGGGATCCTCTGGTCGCAACGCCGGAAGTTGGAAGCGAACTACGGCATGCTGTCCGGTGTGAGTCTTATTCTATTGGGTGTGGAGCGATTTTTTGTGGAGTTCTGGCGTATCACGCCACGCGTATTGGGATGGATGACAGGGGCGCAGCTTTTCAGTATTGTCTTATTCATCGTCGGCATCGTTTTGATTTTCTGGGCGCGTTCCCGTCCCGCCGGTGAACAATGAAACAAAGCAGTGACAGAAGCCCGTTGACACAGCGGAAACCACAAAAACAGGCATCGCCAACCGCAAACCACCCCCCGGCAGAGAAGGTGATGGTTTTCAGCAGTCAGCGGCTCAGCGCTTTTGCAAAAAAAAAAAAAACACCCCACCACCCCCCCCCCCACACAAACACCACACACCTTATGATTCGTTCTGGCAAAGACGCTGGTTTCCTTGGTTTGGGCTAGCCTTTACTTTTTGCCCCCCGCCGACCAACAGTAACGCTCGCGCTACCCGTTGCCCCTTAAGTTTCTCCGTACCTTCCATCATGTTTATTGCACTTCTCAATGCGGCAGATAGCTAGGCGTGCATTCCGCAGTGGCAGCAATCGTACCCTTCACGCTGATTCTGTACGTCACCTCAAGCAAGGGTTATCCCGCTTTATGTGACACAGCTCGAAACCGGTTCTGCCGCACACTCTATCTTAATGTAGTAGGCGCGATCCGTGCACCCCCCCCATTCGCCTCTAGTAGCGGTTCAGTTACCTGGTATTCTTAGTGATGCCATTTTTCCTGTCGTGCCACCTACCGTAAATCGTGTACACCCCGGGACGGGGTCTATTTGTAGGTCGTTTTCTGGCAGGCAAATACTGCGGGTTCCTTGTTTGTCGGTCTTTGCAATCTGGTAAGACGCTCATACATGCTAACCGTGGCCTCCTTCCCCGCTCCACCCCTTCTCTTTATCACCTTCCACCAGTGTTAAGCGCGACTCAAGTCACAGACCCTTGGACACCTACCCCCTCCTAGCTCACTCGGCCTGGGCGCTTTTTGGCGCCAGCGGGGTGGGTTATTATTGTATTGTCTTATATAATGTTTCCCCATACGCTTTCGCTTCAGGGTGTTGATGACCTCTTCCGTATGGGTTTTTCAGCGACGGCTTTTTTCCTCTGCACGTTCCGACTGCCATTTGGTGAACGCGCCGCTCCACGAGGCACAGGGATCGCTGCGGCTCCACAGGGCTAGGCAAAGCAGGACCGTTACTCATGGGCGCGCTTACGTACCGCTCCGCAGCGTGACAGTCTTGGGGGCCCATCCCTGGAGCCCGATGAGACGAATTAGCGTAGTGTGGCTGTTGGCTCTTTGGGGCCTATAGGTAGGAAGGTGGAGAGAAGAACACAGGAGTGGGGCTGTTGGGCTGGGAGGTGGGGGCGGTTGGGCATCGGGGCGACTACCCGTGCCGGGCCGCCAGCATGTTATAGCAAAAGCTTGTGAAACGAACCAAAAGCCATGTAAGGCGGCTGTTTATTAAAAAAAAATTTAAAGACCTTACGCAAAACCGCCAAAAAACCCCCACACAAACAAAAACCCACACACCCCAAACACCAAAAAAACAAACCACCCAAACACCAAAAAAATCATAGAAACGAAATTTTCTCATACAAGCACACATCAAGTGAGAAGTAGTGACTTACGCAAACGCCATTGGGAATGAAAGCGTCCGCTTCGGATTCTGCGAGCGAAACCGTGAAAAGAGAGTTCGCGAGGCACGGGGACTCGTGCGAACAGCGCAGGTGTTGGGTATGAACGATGCACCCAAACCGTAAAAATCATAGAAAAACGAAATTTTCTCCATACACGCCACATCAAGTAGAGACGGTAGTGAAACCAACGCTTTTGTGCTGAGAGTGCCAGCAACTCTGAGGGTATGAAGGGGGTTTCACTGTGTTCTTGGGTGTATCTGGATCCTATGTATTTGAGGTTTGTTTGAAAGGCCGAGGTCTGTCTTCCCACGCCCTTCGTTATACCCACCTACGGGAGTACGGAAACCCTAAATTGACACCTATGGTGCTCTGGTAAATCAAACCTCTCTTTAACTGAAGTACTGAGTGCTGAGTACTGATAACTATATACCTTATATAAGAGGAACCCCAAAGAAACGTGCAAACAAAACGGATCTGCCTCTGGTCGGGACCCCGGAACGTCTCCACTGCACCATGTATGCTTTCGCACAACGCAGCGATACGCAGATCATTGACGAACCGCTCTACGCTCACTACCTCCACACGAAATACGGCGCGCACGCTGCTGATAGCACACATCCGGGTACTGCTGAAGTCCTTGCATCGATGGCAACAGACGCAACGGAAGTCGTCCGCGATGTCATCCTCGGTCCCTGCGACAAGCCTGTGCTGTTCATGAAACAGATGGCGCACCACCTCATCGAGATCGATCTCGGTTTCCTCGAACAGACCGTTAATATCTTCCTCATCCGTGACCCGAAAGAGATGCTCCCCTCCCTTGCGAAGTCATCGGTTACCCCGACGCTCGCTGATACCGGACTCAAAAACGCAGCACAGATCTGCTTATCTCGCTGCTGCGCTGCGGGACAAGTGTCGTTGATCCTCGATGCTCGGTTGCTTTTAGAGGATCCGCGTCGTGTCTTGTGCCAGCTCTGCGAACGGCTCGGTTTACGCTTTGATGTGTCGATGCTGTCGTGGGAAGTGACGGGTGGTAATCCTGCGGACGGGGTCTGGGCACCATATTGGTATGGCAACGTGCATCAGTGAGTACCGGGTTCGCGCCTTACCGTCCGAAATCGGAGCCGTTTCTGCGGAATTAGAAGAGGTGTTCGCGGCGTGTTCACCGCATTATGAAGCCTCGCGAGATGCGATTGTGCCGTAAATTGGTTGTCAGTTATCAGTTTTCAGAGGGATGGTTTTCAGTTTTCAGTTACCAGTTTTCAGCAAATCGGTTTTTCGTAAAGTAGGTTAGCCCCAGCGGGGTGACAGGTGTATAAAAGTTTTTTCGCAAAGCAGATTAGCCCCAGCGGGGCGGCATGTGTATAGCAAATATTTCATATAGAGAAGCAAGCCCCAGCGGGGCGACAGGTGTATAGATCCATTGACACAAATAACATCAAGCCCCAGCGGGGCGATAGGTGTATAGGAAGTTCATTGGCAAAGCAAATTAGTCCCAGCGGGGCGACAGGTGAACAATTTCACAAAGGAGAACACTATGGCTGATACGTAACCCAACTCTACGTACATATTGTCTCGCCGTCAAAGGTAGACAATTCTCTTATTCCAAAAGAACACAAAGAAGCAGTGCACCAATATATTACCCGCATAATCACCAACAAAAAACAGACGGTCATCCGCATAATTCAATGCCAGATCATATTCATGTACATCGTCGGCATGATGCGCTGATATTGCGCTGTCTGATTTAGGCTACAGGGACTCAAGGCAAATGTCGTCGAAACATTCATGAACAAAAGCGGTGGATCGTAGTAGATTGAATGGCCGACAGGTTTGGTGCGTTCTCATGTCGTCATATTCGCATTCGCAGTTGGATGCGGTTTGTCCGTATATTAAAAATCGAGGAGGCGCATCATTCGCATCAGACGTTTAGGGAGGAAAGGCAATATCTCGCGTTTCTGAAGCGTTTGATGTTCCGTATATCGAAGAAGTAAGTGTGTATTTGATCCGGATGACGTAATCTGCTGAAAGCATGTGAAATACATCTGTCGCCACTCTGAGAGTCGTCAGTGGTGCGATGCTGATATATCAATCCATACGTGTCAATTTAAGAAAAGAGTAGTGCTGAATATCACCAGGCCGTGTAGATGTGTTGTGGTTTCATAACCGCATCGGATCGTCCGCGAAAAAGACCTTCAGTCTGCAGCGTCTGCTAAACAGAGAGTTTCGCAGCTCTAGAAACAAGAAACCGAGGCCTGGGTTGGGGATAAGTCCGTTCGGTAGGAATGCACGATG